CAATAATTTCCGTTAGATTTTCCGTTAAAACAACTAATTCCGTTACTTTGCCTCTTTATATATATAGAAGTCTAGACAAACGTGCTTTGCACGTTGCTTGTACCTAGTAAAAAGAAAAGGGGTGAACAAGTTTTGCTAGGTCCCAAATATCAATTTATTTATAAGTTTTCATGACTTGTTCCATTCAAAATTTTGAAATAATAGAGAGAAAAAATGGCTATATCTAGATATCTAAATGAGAATCATATGACTGGTCACTGGGCAAACAAAAACGACTATATCCACAACTTTTTAAAATACTAGTTAGGCACACGTGCAATGCACGTGTCATAGTGTAGTTGGCTATTTAATAGTGTGAAATGATTTTTTGTTATTTTACACAACTATGGAAGGTTAATGAAAGAATAAAAATAATTACTTATTAATGAATATTGTTTCATTTTGAGCGAAGATTAATTTTGCTGTGTAAGAAGAGTAATGTTAGATGCCTTGCTAGTAAATCCAAGGCATTCCATAGAATGTGAAATGAATTAAGTATGTGAAAAATTATGATATTGATCATGAAAATATCACAAGTGGAAAGGTTACTCAAAATTTACGAATCAAAAACAATTGGTAAACATGTCTACAGAGAAAGGTGCAAAAGTTATGTTCTATTGTCGTTTAAATAATATTCCAACTTGAATAGGAGAAACGTATGGTGAAATCATTGGAAAGTGCGTCGCTTGCCTTATAGTTGTTTTATTATGAAAATTGTTAAATCAACTCATCTAAAAGGTTAAACTCTCATACAGGGACCAACTCATCTAAAAATTATGTCTCCAGCACTCCCCCCCAATCTCATGTGTGGGCATGATTCATCTTTCATAGAAGCCTAACACGTGAACAATTTTCCTGAGGGCAGCAACGAGCCTTGTGTTTTTACTTTGGTATCATGTTAAAATTAGTAAAATTAGTGGGTTGTAGTGAGGGGAGAAAAATAAAAATAAATGGGCTTTCTTTAATAGCCCATTTCTGCATTTTGAGAAGGAAACCTGACTGCTTGATTCATTTTCAAGTTGCTTCATTTGAATCTTTATTTTCACCATTTTCTGCAAAATAATCACAATTTCTGTAAAATAAGTGAAACCCTAATAAAAATATAACCATGAAATGACATTAAAAAAATTATCAAGAAGCAGCATCCATGACCAAATAATATTTGTAGGTTCCTCCTGTGGGTATAGGAAATTCCATGTATGAAACCTGGATTGGAACGGGTTGTATTGCAAATATTTCATGAAATGGCAAAAATGAATTAAACAGTCATTTGGACTCAGGTCCTTCTCTTGTTCAAGAATTTGAGATAAAGAACATACTACAGTTAAGTAAAAACATATTGAAATTGATGAGCATGAACAATCATGTAACAATGTTAAAACTCCTATAGAAGTGGGAAAAAATTAGATAAAAAGGACAAATATATAAGAAATGACAAGCAGTTTCGAAAATAATACACAAATATATTGCTAAGCTAAACATAAAGAGCAACTATGAAACTTCTAACACACAACCTCTTGGACTCTTCCTCAATTTTATCAGACAATCTTTTCTCTAACTTTAGAAGATAATAAATATCAAGGTTTTAGATTAAAGATAAAATAGTATGTGCATGGAAAATTGGACCAGGCAAAGAAAGAAAGAAGGAGATTTTGAAAACAGAAGAGCTCACTTCTTCATCCCACAATATATCCTCCATTGATAATTTATATTCTCAATCTTCTCATCAAGAGGGAAGATCTGCACAAATTGAGAAACAAAACATTTTTACATCTTGTAATGAATTACTTGTTTCAAGAAAAGATTGCAATCCATTCAATAAGCACAAATGGGGTTGAGGATGACAATTCTGTGGTCCATAAAGAAACAAATTAATGGAAAAAAATCATCATTGGTCTACAACTGACAAGCTCGTAGTAGACACATACAATTATGCCATCTTATCTTATAGCTTCAATTTTCCTATACATTGACACCTTCAGGAACGCCAGAATATTCCTTCAAAAAGCAATGAATAAAACAAGGAATTAGTACTAACATGTATTTAATAACCGGAAGAATATGCTAATGAATTAAAATCCATATGCAGCAAAAACTGGAAGAATATGCTAATGAATTAGTACCACAAAAACTAATTACAATGTCGTTAAGCTCTCTCTGATGTCCACTATACAATTTACCAAAAAGATAAGACCACTTCAACAAAATAAACATCTTGATTCAAATCATTGTGATTTGCTTGTCTAACAACATCAAGCATTTCTCCATAAATACAGAAGAAAATTGAAATAAATTCCTCCAAGAGTTGGTTCTCTAAAAAATTGATTTAGATTCATATTCTCAGTCAAAGACGAATGATTTTTCACGTGTCAGTTTTCTATATTAATTCAGTATTAAATCTAAAATACAAACACGCTAGTTCAATATGCATGTCCAACCTAAAATCTCATCAGATTTTCTCTAATTTAGGGAATATTGAAAGACCTCCATTTGATAACATTTAGAACAACTCTTTCTATGCTCGTGTGACTTATCTAAGTCTCTTTCAATTTTGTATGTATGCATCTGCTGCGCATGTTGTCAGCAAAATTGTGCATGTGTATCTCTAGACAAAAATAGAAGCCAAAAATTTAGTCAATATACTTCTACGTAACCAAAATGCCCCAAAAATAAGTTCTAAGACAAAATGGGAAAGAGGGAGGAAAATATGAACACACCATGTTAGTATTGTCGTGTCTATCAGTCTCAATTTCCCCCGACTCCACATCAGAATCCAATTTCTTTTGCTTCTCAAAATCTCCATCCTTGTGACTGCTCGTCCCTTCATTGTTTCATTTTCCCTGTATTCTCATGCCCATCAATAAACCAACAATACTTTCAACAATATATTTAACTTGCAGTTATTGAAAACTAATTATGTCGAATAATGCAAACTTGCAAAAATCCAATTCCTTCAGCATACTGTTTTACTGAGAATGGATTTGAATAATCCACCACTTTTGAGCAGGCTGCTTGGCCTTCCAAATCAGATTCACCACGCCAACTAGTAGCAAAGGGTGTGTCATTGTGATCACTTCGTTCATCAACTTTTATCCTTTTCTACCCACTGGGACGTAAATCCGTAGATATATAAATGTACAATCGATGCGTAAAAATGATGAACATAGGAAAGCCTAATTTTATTACTATAGCAAACACCTTGTCCATGCTGCGTGAAGTAAAACTTTTGAATAGAGAACAATGCTTACATGCTCTGGGGGGGCATTTGCCTTCTTCGCTAGAGTACCTTGGAATGGTCAATTTGTAGTTTTTCTCTACAAAAGTTACTTTCATTAGCCTAATGGAACAAACCAAATGGAAAAGGAAAGAGTTCAAATTGTCCTTTTATATTTTGATACAATGACGAAGTGTGATGTCAAAAGAATAGGATCAAGAGTGTTCAGAATATAAAACATTGATTAGTATCCTAAACTTCGGTGGTGAATTGCTATGTTTCTATTTGCAACGATAAGATGCTATATAAAGAAGCCCTGAAGCACAAACCTAGATGAAGTTGTACATGTTTGGTTTCCAGAGTTGAAGAGTTCCAATGCTTTGCCAGGGTGCAAGAAAATGATGTAACCTACGACAAAATATGACATGATAAATCATTTTAAAGAAAATAAATAAACAGTTTAAACATTAGTTTTTACTTTTCAGACTTGTATCCAGAATCCTAGTGATATAGTAGAGTTTGCATTAAAAAACTTTTGAGAAATTTAAATGACACCAGATGCAAAAAATATGTCTCAGTACTTGGATCAGCTGTTTTACATGCTTATATTGATGTTGAATTTGGAATATCTTGCAGTCAGTAAGTAAAGTCCACAAAAAGCATTTGGATCCTTTTTTAAAAAAAAAAATTTAATGTCAACCAACACAATAAAATATTTTGACATAAAACAAAAGTTTTTTTTTTTTTTGACCCACACATTCTTCAAAAAATAACTATTATGTAACAGATCATCACATTAAGCAATATTTCAGATTCAAACTTAAGCCTATGTTTGAGCTCCATTTCCCCCAAAACTCATTTTCAACCACACATTTTTCCATAAAAATAATTTTAAACGTAAACTCAAAACTTTTCCATATTTTTCAACCATCCAAACCCTATTTTCCCCCAAAAATGGGGTTCAAACAGGGCTAAGTCAATATGGAGGAATAAAGAAAAGATACCTTCTGAACATAGCTTCAGTCACAGATGGTGAAATCCTTGCTACAAAAATCCTGGTCACTTTACTCGGTGGAGCTCTCATCTCCTCTTATAGTACAAGGTTTGAAAGAAACACCAAGAGGTAAAATGGCATAGCTTCTAAACCTTGTAAAGCAAATGCTGGAAGTACAACTAAATGGGTAATAATTACAACTTTAAATTAGTAAACTGTATAAATAACTGGATGGTTAAAGAAGGTAACCTTTGGTGTGGCTATTTAGACCTCCAACATTCTATTACCGAGGACATGCTCACTTGTCAATGCAGCCTACAAAATAAAAGGTAACTTAACCCAGAAATTTGAAATTTCCCTCTCAATATACATAGAGAAAAAATGAAACAGAAAACATGTATTACAAAAGGTTAAAGTAACTGGGTTTCAGCTTGAGGATCTTGGTCCTTGGCACTTCCAAACCCCCAATACCATAAGGTAAGTAAATTAGAAGGGATTTAAGCACCTGATTCAAGAAAAATTTCACTTCTTATGAAAAATATGTTTTATGTCAGATTTCCATTTGAAGCACAAAACAAAGCCAAAGTAACATCAGAAGGTGAAAAAAATAACAACATGAATGAGGATTATCAACTTGTACCTAAGGTAAAACATATAATTGCAGCTCTCTCAGGTGCCCAATTGTAGTCGATATTTACTGATCTTCCAGTAGGCTTCTTAAGCAACTCAGTAGTTAAATCTTTACTTTTTAAGACAGCTATATAAACATGTAAATGTCTTCACAATATTTTTACTCACCATTCATCAAAATTTGGACATGAATACCTACCAGTCCCAGTGTCGTTGGCATTAACAGGTGTATCCATTGAGATATGCCATTGCAGAGATGGTACTAAATCAATGTGGAACTCAGAATGCCAGTAACCCGGGCTCAAGTCAGTGACAAGTAAGACTGGCTGCACAACCTTCATTACCAATTTTGCCTCTTCCAAGCTCTACAAACTGATAAATATTAGTAGTAGTCAGATAAACAATTGCCAGTTAGACAAATTATTAGTGATCCTGAAAGCTATGTTCAGGCAAGAAATTGGACATAAAAAACTCCAAGCCATGTCAAAAGATATTTCAGCCCATCTCCCAAATATGAAGTTCACAAAATACCCCAAATGTCAAGGGTTCAACATGCATAGTTCAGAAAAGTTTATGAATAGATCCTGCTACCACTGAGAAACCTTTCTGATGTATAGGAAAATGTCTTTTAAGGCTTTATTATAACTGTGAGAATTTACACAATAGCTCTAGCTATATTTAATTTGAGTTTTAATGATCAGCCTCTTTTTTTCCAGAAATTATAAATTTAGGTAGCATCACAATTAACATATCAACTTTCCATGTAGTTATAGTTCTTCCAGAACTTCTAGAATGATTCAAAAAGACAAAAAGTTCTCTAATTTCAAGTTACTGTTGTCATGTAACTCCATTTAAATCCCAACAAAAATCTCCATAGGAACTGGTCAAATAATGTGCCATATTTCGTGAAAACTACAATATTTTTTACTCTCTGCTTCATCTGGCTGTCCTAATAGGAAAATTGGTCATCAACTTTTTAAACAGCAAAAAATAGTAGCAAAATTAAATTATCCCACTACTGTTATGAAGCTACTATCTGGAGCAGGGTAAGAGGACCTACAAAGTTCCCTAAACCATTGGCTATCAAAACTTCCATGTTTTTAAATTGTTGCAGCAAGTTTTTCTTCTGGCAGTGTCTTCTATTAGTCAATTAGAACAGACGAGCCCAGTAAGGATTTTATCTAATACTTGTTGCAATATTAAAGTTTCTATCAGATTTTCAAATTATTTCATCCATAACCTTATAGCATGTTTAGGAGTGCCTAAAAGCTCCTTATAAGCATTCCCAAACATGCAATTAGTCTCCTCAGTTTCATCTTTGAGGACAATAAATTTTTGAAAGATCCCTACCTTTCATTGATCACATCTTAGGCTTAACTCCAAGTCTCATACAAGAGTCCTATATTATGCATATGATGTAGCTTAATAATATTATAATACAATGTAATGAGAACAATTCAATTGATGATTTATATTCCAAATAGGGAGTTTCAAGTTTTGAAGGAGGTTGATGGGGAAAATGTATATAATTTTCTAATTAAAAGATGCACTTGAAAAGTATAAAAATTCAAGTAATTTTGAGGTAAGTATTAACTTAATTTTAGCGGCCAGGTTAGAAACATATCAACCTACTTTCCTTGAGGGGGTGGCAATAAGGACTGTAATGGATGTATTTATAAATAACAAGCTTCCAACTGATCAAACTACTTCATGTCATACACTTTGACCTTTTATAATGGGATAGAGATTTTTATTTCCCACTACATAATTTTTTTTTTTTTTTTTTGGGAGGGGTGGTGGTGGATGTAGAAGGGAGTGGGTTTCATGCACATGCCAGGCATCTTTTGAAACTATCTCAGAAATGTTCAATTCCTCTGATGAGCACCCATCACTCTGGATGCCAGGAATAAGGACCTTCTCTAATGCAGTTACTGAAGAAGATTGAGATACAAAATCATAAAAAGACTTTCCAGCAAACATCTTCCCTACAAACAAGAACCAGATAAGCTACATCTTTTAAAAATATCCCATACCGATTACAAAAATTTATTTTCACTAAATAGATTATAGTTTGAAAGTACAGAGAACTATTTCTTCATGTAAACAGAAAGCAAGGCAATGAAAGAAAAGCAATAGCAATTTAAAAATAAAAAAGCAGACAACAACGAGGAACTCACAGGCTGCTACCAAGTCCTAAAATCATATGTTTATCCATCTCATTCACATTTTCTCCTGGTATGTCGAAAAATTTCTTGTGAGGTATGACATGAATCGACATCCGTTTTCCTCTGCCATATAGCAATTTCACCTTTCTCAGATTTCTTCTCCCAGCAGAGAAGCCAATCTCTTCAATCTGACTCTATTCTTCCTGAAGCTCCTCCTTAGGGCGCTGCCATGCTTTGAAGTTTGTCTTCCAATTGATGGGAGGGCCTGAAAGCACCCAGTAGCCACCAGGTCTAGGAACACGATCAACTTCCTTCATGTAAATTCCGCCTGCAATCAGAAGGAACCAAAAGTAACTGTATGGCCAGATGCTCCATCTAATTATCTAACTGAAGATAAAAGTTAAAACATTGCGGGAAAGAAACCTTCTTACGAGAAGGTGAGAAAGTCAGCTAATATTCTGATATTTCATTAAGCCATTACGGGTTGCAGTTCAGTAGTAGTGTAGCTTTGAATCTATAGAGTTATTCAACATTTTACTCTCACCATTTGCTCCCCAAGGAATTAGACAGCGAGAACAGTGAGCCGTGTCAAAAGCTCTTGATGGATATGGCATCTTGATTGTTCCAAGAACACCAATTACAGCGGGAACACCCCTTTCAAGAGCAAATTGAACCTGGGCTTCATGTGAGTCCTTTAGCGCAAATGACATTGGTACAACATTTCTCTTCCAAAGATATGCACCCCAACTTGCAACCTAACACGATAATACGTAATTAGAAGGTAAACCAGATAAATTACTCTCGGATTGGAAAAGAACAGTCAGAATATTCAGACAACGAATATAGAGAGAGAAGTGCATAAGATACTCAACATACCCCACAACCAGTGTCCAGTGCAGTCCTAACAGTTCCATTTTCGATTGGTATCACTGAAGCAAGCTGATCAATGTATTTATCAGCTCCTTGAGGAAATTGAGTTCCTCCACCAGGGAACCTAAATACATTACCCTCGAACTGAATCCAGTTCTGAATAGCCTTCTCAACTGTCAAGCTCTCGTATGGGGTATTGGCATAGGGAACATAATCACGACTCTTTGGCCATGGAAATGGAGTTGCATAACCATTCAGTGCCGGAATTAGGCAATGCAACTTTTCTTCTTGAGGAGGACAATGCCGCTCACGATAAATCATATTTTCCCTGGGAAAAGTCATAGCACGTTCTTGATCTTGGCAGGGCGTGTAATCAGTATAGCGAGGATGGCACGGCTTATAAGTTTTCACTTTTGAATGGAAATCGTCAATTATTCCAACTTCACCGCCATGATGGGTTTCAAAATTGAGGTTTGGGAGGATGTTGCAGTTCTATCCGCTCTTGGTCATCTCCACTGCTATAGTGTCTCCCTTTCTGAAACCACTTCTCTGCCATGCTCCCAGTAAGTAGAAGAAACAACATAGACCAGCTACTATAAAAATTGACACAAAACGACGAGTTCTATTGTCCCCAGAATTGAACTTGTTTGCTATCACAACATTGAAACAATGATTACTCAAATTTAGATATTGAAATAATTGTAAAGTGAAGCCTGCGTTAGCATAATGCATATACAAATTGAGTAAATAATCCAAATTACTGTCGAATTCGTCGAGGAAAAAAAAGCTATCAAAGCGATCACATTTCCAAAATATTCGATATATGTCAAATTTGTAAATAATCATTTTTTTCCTGATTCTAGTCTATAATGTCTTGGTTTGTCAAAGACTTGGAACTCAAATAGATCCGGGATTGTTTTAGACATCAAGTACTTATTTTTCCTCTTTCAAATCCAGAAACTATAAAATCCAACAAAAACTTAGAGCGAGCAAGCGAGCAAGCAAGCAAGCAGATAAGCAGAAAATCTACTACACAGTTAACACAATAAATTTACCATTAGATCATTAAAGATCATTCATAAAACAGACTATGAACTCCAATAAGTCCCATTTAATGTGATATTAAAGGTTTGAGCAATTAATTGAGCTCTTGAATAAGAATAATCTATGAAAACAACGTGCTAATAATAATTGGCAAGCAACTAAGTTTACTACTGATACAGTTGTAAATATCCAAACACTTAGTCAGCGAGGAATGGATTCGTTGACAAGTTCAAATTCATCACGAAACCCAGAAAACAGATCTCGATTTTTTAGTAAAAGCCGCTATATTCCAAATTCCATCGCTTAATCAATTTAGTGATTCAACCAATGCACCAACTACAAAAAAGGAAGAAATTTTGATAGGAAAATAAATGAAGTATTAAATCTCATACCAATCAATTGCATCAATTGAAGCCTCCTGAAAAGAACTATAAATAACTTTATTGTGGCTGAAGCATGGGAAGAGAATTATGAATGTTTCAAAAATCGGTTAACCGAAGCTGGAGGCGGACTGAGCAGAGATACAGAAAGGGTTTTACAAAACCTGTCACGAGCAATGCACGTGATTCATATACAGATACTGAAGCTCCGTGCAGCACGGAGCTGTCTTCTAGCTCCGTGCACCACGGCGTGGGGAGACGGGCCCTCTCCGCTATTCGCGGAGAGAAGAGGAAGGAGTGAGGAAGAAAGGGCTGATCCGGCGGAGAGAAGAGGAAGGAGGGATGAAGAAAGGGTTGATCCGCTATTCGCGGAGAGAAGAGGAAGGAGGGAGGAAGAAAGGGCTGATCTGGCGGAGAGAAGAGGAAGGAGGGATGAAGAAAGGGTTGATTTGAGCTGGGCTCTCCGTGGTAAAACGCCATCAATGCTTAAGCCCGAGATTAGACGACGACGTCTTGGTCGACGACGGGAGAGTTCGACACGTGGCAATAAAAACTGCCTCTTTTAGGGCTTGTGTGGGAGGGATTAAAATCAGATTAAAATTGAAAATATAGCCGTTATTGTTGACTTTTATTAGACGAGTGGGGCCCAATAACGGCCATATTTTCAATTTTAATTGGCTTTTAGTATAGTTAGGATTAGGATTAGGATTAGGATTAGGATTAGGAAATGTACCCAAACGGAACCTTAATCCTAAAAATAGATTCAGTTATTAAAGAAAATATGACTGGTCACTGGGCAAACAAAAATAAAACTATCTATAAATTTTTTTTAAAAAAGGGACATTTCTCTATGTAATTAATGAATAATTAAATAATCATACGTATAAAGCTCTGTTATGATGAGATTTAGATTCTTTCACCAATATTATTTTAGTATTCTTTCACAAAAATAGTACATAATTTTGGTTCCATTAGAACAATTATGCCACCTTTCTTACTTTTTTTTTCTAATAATAGCTAATTGTTTCTTTTAGAAAATCCATTGTTTCTTTATGTCCCCTAAGGGTTAATCCATTTGTCTCACATAATGCACGGGCCCACGTGTATTTAAAAATTTCGATAACGTGGTTCCCATCCTCATTATGAGTAGTAGGTAAAAGATTCGGTAAAAAAATTCAGTACATGTAGGCTGTAGCATGATCCGTCCCCTAATCCTTGAAATGGAACTATCTTAGTGTCTTGAACTCTGCAAATTCATTTCACATAAGATGAACACATTTTTTTTGGCAGTGTTAAGGTGGAGACGTGGAGTTATGCATTATAGCAACTTCAATCTTCCGAGGCGAAACATTTCGAAATATAGTTTCTGCTACTTGATGTCAACTAATCACAAGACATGAATGTTATCTTGATCGAGAGCAATAGATCTCATAATTTCAATTTATCTAAACTTTGGCTCCACAACTTTTTCAATTCTACCCGTCAATTTTCTCTGAAATGCTCTTCGATAAGGATTTTTAAATTTTTATTTTGTTTTTGAGAATGGTATAAGGAGATTCACAAATTTAATACCAACCTATTGTCTAATTTCGCAATCTTAAGAGTTAAAAGCTTCAAAAAAATTATACGGGAAATCTTACATTAGGATCTCTAGCTCTAATCTTCACAACTAAAAACGCCAAAATTACCAAGTCCTTCTCTGATGTAGCTCCGTCGTTAAGGTAGAGAACTAAATAAAAAATTATCTTCCTTCATTATCAATCGAATCATTGTTTGTTGATAAAACCCAATTGACAAATTTTTCATATTCAAGGAAAAAACTTCTAATCTCCTATCAGAAAATTCTCAATTCTTCTATCGGCTTAACCCTTGTTTGGTGTGGCTTAAAATTTTGTAAAAAAAAAAAAAAAAAGTCAAAGTCAACAATTAATTTAACCACAAATTTTATGGGACATAAATTTTCGATCAAATATTTCATCAACTTTTATCAAAATTTTAAGCGGCGCTAAATCGAGCTAAACCTAATTCAAAGATTAATAAATCTAAAATCTCGCCTTCAACATAAGCAAAAGTCAATTGCCACCGACAGCAAGCAAAGGTGAATTAGTGGTTTAACCTAACTTTGTTCCCTTGAAAGGTAAGGCCTAAACTAAGAGTAATGAATCGTTCCCAAAAGAATGAGACCAAATATTTCTTAATTTAATGCTAATGTAATATTAGTAGAGCATATTATCTAAATTGTGTCAAGCTCGAATGGGTTGGTTCAATTCAGTTCCAAAAAATTTGTTGGGCTCTTCCACTCGGTTGAATCACCAAGTCTAAGTCCAACTTTTATCATTGCTTAATATGTGAATTTTAGAGTCAAGCTCCTTCCTACCTTTACACTCGAGAGACAATTTTCGTTCGATTTAAGAAACTATTGAATGCCTTCGTTACTTTTTAAGAGACATGTGTCTCATAAATACTGTATACCTGAAACTGTCCCTTGACTCATATATCTCAACACAATGTTAGAACTTTAGCTCTTGCAAAGTGATAACTCACTAATGGCCCAATCTATTCTTCAAATGGTTTGAAATTGACATTCTAGACTACTAGGACTGAAAAATCTAATACACCAGGATCCTACACCATTGTAGCATAATATACACTCCCTCTTCTATTTCAAATATAAAAACTAAAAATAAACATATTATTGATATATAGCCCATTATTTTACATTCTTTTTTTCCCCCCATGAGGCCATGGTTGGAATTGAAACTCATTAAAGAAACATCAGATTGGAGAAGCAATCAAAACTTTTTCCTTCTCCATTATAGAATTCATAGCCAAATTTGAAGTGGTGTTTGGTGGGAATTAAAATTAGATTTTTAGCAGGTTGTGATAGAAATTTTTGAATTGAGTGGTTGAAAAAATGTGAAACTCATGAAATATATGATTAATATTGATTATTTGATTTAAACTTATATTAAAATCTGATTTTAATTCAAAACAAACATAACCTTACTCTAAAGAAAAATGCAAGAGAATAAGAATGAAATATTAGTTAAGCAATCAATGTCAATACTTAGGCTACTTGCTCCTACCACATTTCTACAATCTTTAGCAAGAGATGGCCACATATTTACACTTCCTTTTACAACAACATACAATTATTACACCACAAGAAATTTTCACTAACATTACATTGTATAAAAAAGGAAACAATTAGATAGCTCCCACAAAGAGCTTACAAAATTTCCAATTTTCAGCCTACAAAGTTTCTCAAGGGTCAAATCCGCGTTGGATCATGTCGAGTGTCCTTCCAGGTTACGTATTTTCCAAATCAGATCCTTCAAGCCGGCTATCGATCTACGTTGGACACGAGTTTTAAAGTTAGATCGAGGTCTATGCCCTTGAATAATGCTCTCGACCACTACGATTATCGCCTAGCACCACACCCCCAACCTCAATTTCATCAAAAGCAAGAAAAACCCATAAATCAAAACCTTATTTTTCATCACTCAAAATCTAACCCACCACCCTACTTACTACTACTCCTAACGAGTACAAAGTAGCCAAGAACAGCACAAATTACAGCCACAACATTCCCTTCCTTAATCAAAACCTTAACCACAAACCCAATAATCTCACCCGTCAATTTCTTGCCCTCCACCACCAAATCCCTTCTGGGTTTCCTACAAAAAGTCAAAAGCACAAGCACAGTAATCCACGTCACTAGAGTCGCCGGCACCGCCACAGCCAAGGCGGCCACCACCGACAGAACCCCAAACGCCACCCCCAAAACCACCGATACACTCAAAACTGTCCACCCAGATGCACTTGACCTTACCATGGTCGATTCATACCAAGAAAGTACAGATTTTAAAAAATTCCAAGAAAGATATAGTAAAATTGAGTAAACTGCTGCAAATAGGCAAACCCATGTTCTTCTTTTGCTCATAAGCTTTATGAGTAACATGGAGGAATATGATTCTTCTTCTGTGAATTCGTCCGCCATGGATTGTGCTTGAATTTGATGGGTTCTGTATCCCTCTTTGGTATACACTTTTGATTCTACTGTGGGCTTGATAGCCATTATTTAGCTCCCTGTTTGAACCCAATTAAGGGGGTGTTTGACACCCACTTTTGTGAAAAATGTGTTTTTGAATAGTGATTGATGGAAGATTGTGTGGTTGAAAAGTAAAGAGAATTTTTAGATTTATGTGTAATATTATTTTATAGATAGAATGTGTGGTTGAAACGAAAAAAGAGAAAAAAAATGAGAATGAGAAAAAAATGGGTGCCAAACGGGGGCTAAAAATTACATTTTCATTATTCAACTCATTTTCAAGTCCACGTTGTTCAATAAAATAATATTTTTTATCACATCAATAAATTTTCTTTCTTTTTCAACCACACATTATTCATCAATTTATTATTTTAAAATATATTCTTCCAAAATAATGTGACTCAAACACACCCTTAATAAAAATAAAAATAAATACGATGTTTTGAATAATATTTTAAAGAATGTAGAGTTGTAAAATAAGAAAAAGATTGAAATTTACGTATAAAATATTTAATTGAGTTGACGTGGTTGAAAATGAATATTAGAGTTAACAGCGATGCTACACATACAAAAAATGTTCGCTAGAATTCTTATAAATGGACACTAGTCGTTTTTCATTGGTTTTTCGCAAAATCAACAAAAAAAAATGCACCATACAAGTGTGGCCAACTATATGATAAGTGTATTTTATACACTTATTCGGGCTCCAAATTATGACATTTTATGGTTCTTTTAATGAGATTATAGCCTAATTTATGAAATAATGTGTTATTAGGTGAAACTCGATGGATGATGAA